TCCCGATATGTACATAAAAAGTTACTATAAATAGCTAACCTATGACACTTGTATGGGGGATCCCCGAACTCATCAAAATGCAACACGCAATAGCCCATAAAGGCTTTTCACCTCGGTCCACCTCGGGCCGGGGCCATTGTTGAGTTGTTCTTACATGCTTTATGTTCAAACCGCTAACAATTATCACCTAAATCTCTTGTTATATCGTTGTCAAGAATCGCACGACAACAGTTCCGACATGAGTAGAAAACGTGAAAACCTCCTTATCATTTGCACGGACTCTTTTCGGGTTAACGGGGCGATTATCATCATCTTCATCATCTGAAAGATCCAAGGGCCTTCCTTTCCGACGATTATCGAAATTTCGGAACTTTTGAAGCTGAGGTTGTCCAATTAACCGTAAGAGTGCTGACAAAAGACCGAGACACTCATCGGTATTATGTCCCGGAGACTTATGATATGCGCAGTATCGAGTTTTGTCGAGCTTGTCTTCAGGGGTTCTCACGGGTCTCGGGTCTGGAATAATACCTTTTCCTTTCAGTTCTTCATATATGGTGGCTGCTCCGGCGGAATAAACGGCCTGATAGTCTGTCCTAACATTATCTGAATACTGATCACGAGCAGCCCGAGACTCTGGAGTATTTTCATATCCTTTGGAGAAATTCCGAAACTGTGCTTTCCCAAAGTTCTTCTTATTCTTCTTTTAGCGTCCGATTCAGTCTTGTTTTCTTTCACTGAGAAGTCGAAACTAGGAACCAACATCGATTCCTCGGCAATAATAAACTGTTGAGCTCGTACAAGAAATTCTTGGAAGGTGGCCGGTTTGTTTTGGCACAAGGTCCAACGAAACATCGAGTTGGGCTTCAGTCCGACAATTGCAGTTACTAACAGGGTCTCTGGGTGACAAGGCTCCATGTTTTGAATTCGGTCGTTGAACCGAGATGCGTAGTCCTTAACAGTCTCGTCGTCCTTTTGCACGATGTTAGTAATTGATTCTTTTGGGATGAGACAAATTTGAGCTCCGATAAAGTGCGATCAGAAGGCCGCACGTAACTGTTGCCACTTCCAAATTGAATGAGGCGGGAGAGTATAGTACCATTTTTATGCTCGTGGCCCCAGTATAAGCAAAAACATCCGACATCTCAAAGCATCTGAGGCACCATGCAAATCCATCCAAGACGTATAATGGCTCAAGTGTGCATCCGGATCCGATGTTCCATCATACATGCCAATTTGTGGGATTTTTACCTTAGCTGGGAGTGCCTCCGCGGTAAGTTCCGGAGCTAAAGGGGGAATCAGCTTCAACAATGACATTTCCCGACGTCGAGACATGTCGGGGAGAGTCTTCCTGCGACTTCTGTCGAGTCTCGAGTTCAGCCAAGCGTTTACGAAGAGTTTCAATTTCTTCCGCACTATGTCTTGAAATACGATTCCGTTCAATCTGGCGCCGCAAATCTTCACGACCATGAGGCACTGGTGAAGTAAGTCTAGGATGTGACAGAATTCGCTGATGATGAGCAGAGTCACTTTCAACAGTCATTTCCTGTACAGGGGGCTCCTCCAGGGCTTGATTGTTCGTTATTGGGTTAGCAGTTATACGGGTTAACTCTTCTCGACGTGGAGAAGTATGGTGAGGTTGTGACGTAGCATGAGATGTCGCCGCATGCGTTTCGGGGTCATGACGAGTATGATTTGGGTGTTCTGTTGGATTGGTAGTTAACGACATTGATAATGGTACCGTATTCGAGTTTCT